ATATATATATATATATATATTTAGAGAGAGAGAGATCTTCAAATACAAACCATCCAAAAGTTACAAACTTACAAACAAGAGTATTTGAGTCTTTTCATCAAATTCGTATTCTTAATAATAATTAACTTTCTTAAATATCTCATATAATATCAAATAAATCATATTTATCTTAAAAAATTTTACTTCATTGAATATCATATTTGATTACCATATGTAACCAACTCCTCACCATTTTTCCACCGTTTTGTTTTTTATATGAAACTAAACAAATTATTGTGTCTCATATGAAACAATAACAATTTTTGTTACCCTAGTTTCATACTAGTATCGTTTCACTTATCAAACAACATATTTCTTAATAACATTTTATAATAACATTTTATATGTGAAACCACCTGCCCAATCAATAATAACATTTCATAATAACAATTCAATAAAAAATACATATTTTTTTTCTCAAATACATAATTTGATTTCAAGATAAAAAAAACCCCTGGTTATTTTTATCCCATTTAAATGTATTCTTACCTAGACGTGGAAACCTTCGAATTCCGATCCTCCGACGAACTAGAGACGAACCACAAAGACGAAAACCGAAGACCGATACGAAAATCAAAGAAGAAAACCATAGACGAAGGAGAAGTCGTGAGATAAGAGAGAGATGAATATAATTGAGAGAATTATGGAGATAATTCTAATTCATTAATAAAAATTTAAATTTAATGAGAAAATCATGGAGATAATTCTTATTATTTAATAAAATTTAAATTTAAAATATTTAAAATCCATCCAAAACTACTCTTTGCTCAACTGTTAGATCAAAAAAAATGAACAACCTATATGGTTTGTAACTTTCAAATGGTTTGCAAATGATTATCCCTATATATAGCTATAGTCTCAATCAAATATAAACCATGAAAATTTTACAAATCATATAAACCAATCTCAACCATCCATCTAATCTAACGAATATCTAGTTTCATAAATATCTTCATTGTTTCCTAATTAATGTTTGCATTTGATTTGTTCTCTCTCTCTCTCTCTCTCTTTTTCTTGATGAATATGTCATGTGTTGTGCAATGAAAGGTTCCTAATAAAAACGGCTCTCATAAAGTTTTAATTTGTTTTTTAATTTATGTAGAATGATGATTGCTATCATACAAGACGTTAAATAATACAAACAGATCGAGTCGAAGAAGGTAGGCCATCTTAATTCTTAAGGGATAGGATTTATGGATAAGAAGAATATTCGTAGCTTGCGTTTTTTTTAACCCTACATTTCATATTTTAACACTTTTTTTTCGAGATCTTTATATATATATATATATATATATATATATATTATCAGGAGCAAATTAAATTAGAAAGAAGAGTGATTTGCTCTAATTCTATTTTGAAAACATGTTTTCAAAAGCTATTTTGATCGAAATACCGAAACATGTCAAATAAAAAATTTAATAGAAGAATTTCATTGAAGATTTTTTGTCTACAAATTTATATTATTACATTTTTTTTTTGTTCATAAGAACTTATTTAAAATAAAATAAAAATCATGCGTTCCTTTAATTACATGAAATGTGAAGTACGTTCCAAAAATGTAAGTTATGAAAATATTTTCTCCAAAATAGGAACATACTCAAAGTTTGCAACTTCGCATAGACAGAACCAGTAAGTTGGCAAGCTTTGCCCCCCGCCCCCCAAATTGTTCGCCCAAACAATGTAAAAAGATATAAAAAATCAGGCCCACATCCCCACTCCCCAAAAAAATCTGGTCTTGACCCTTCTCCTGCGTGCCTACTTGCTCGCATTCGGCATCCTACTCCCCACCTCCCTTCTACATTATTCCCCCACTCCCCTGCTCCGGCCCCTTGGCACTTCCCAACCTTCCTACTCTGACAACTTCTGCAATATGTTTTTTCAGACGTAATCAAATAACAAAGCAATACAATTCAAAGTTGTATACTATATGTTCATATTCATGAATATTTATCATCTATGTATGTATTCTTAGACTTATAGTTAATGGTCAGTTTAGTAACCAGCAACTAGTTGATGTTGTTTACTTGTTTCATTGTCCAAAAAATACTCATAGTTTAGCTGAATGTTGATGTTGAGGTATTTGTAATTTGTTTTGAAATTTCAGTTACGCATATTCAAATTGTATTTTGTTTGAATGCCAATATTTTGACACTAAAACAATTAAGCACTACATATAGAAGTTTGGAGATTGTATTCAAACATGTAGTTCTTGTAATCTTTGGTTGAATCATGAGCAATAAAATAACCATTGATTTATTTTTCAAGACATTAATGACCCACAACCACATCCTTACAATAATAACCTTATTTAGATGTTCTTCATATGGAGAAGTTTATTACAGTTGAACCTGAAAAGACTGATTTGTCAAATTTAAGGGAAGTCAACATAGATTTCTTTTATTCATGACTCAGACGCACGACCTTCAATTAAAATTTGAGAAAGTAACCAACATGATAATACCAGGCGAGCATGTGAACTTGGACCATATCAACTTCATAAATCAAAGTACCCTTTTGAGTGCACGTCCTCACAATAATACGCATAGTTTCAAGAACGCCGCGTTAAGAATATTGGACAAGTTAGAACCGGTAGAATTACCACAACACGATATTATGAAAGGAAAAAAAAAGTGAATTATGGAAAAGGTTATATTTTCGTCATTCATGAAGATAAGACTCTGACCTTAGTATGTAATTTTTCTATTAGATGTTATGAAGATTTAAAAGAACAAATGTCAGGTAGAGAACCTTATAGAGAAACCAAGGAGTTAACAAGTTATGGATGCTAAACTACGCCTTAAAACTACTATTGAGGCATTTATGTTTTAAGATGCTTTGATTAACGGCTTAATTCAATAAATAAAGGGAATTTTATTGAAATGATGTAGTTTATTACTTATAACAAGAGTATGGATGATGTTGTGTGAAAAAAATGCTCCTCAAAACGTAAATTACACATAACCGAATATTGAAAAAGAAATATTATGTGTGTTTTGCAAGAAATGTACAAAAGGCAAACCTTAGTGAGTTTGCTACACATGTTTTTTGGTGTATATGGTTGTTGGAATACGGGAGCCATAAATCCAACAGAAACTAATCGCATTCTTCCTATAATCTATATGAAACGAATCAGGATGGGTGTTTCAAAAATTTAGCAGAACGAAGAACAACCCTTTGATGTCATATTTGGATTTAAGCCAATGAACTCAGTTCATTGCCTCCACGGCTTCCATGCAAATGCTCTGAATCTAGTTGACGTCCAACGCCAAGAAAGGGGGTCCTCTTTCTTCTCCAAATGCTAGATACAGTCTCCAACTCTTTAGAGAAGAGAAAGAGCAGCTTATGGAATATAGAGAAAAAGAATTGATTCGGATTAACAATTCTTGCAATCAGCTTCTTCCATTATCTCACAATGGGTCTCTGTTTAGATAAGTGTAATGGTGGTTTTTTTTAATAAACAAGTATTATTATAAGTACCACAACATGATAGTTGATGCTTTGGGAAGAAGATTCATATCTTTTAATAACATGCTTGTCCTTTTACACAAATTATATCTAACGAGTCACTACTTGTCAACTCATACTCCATGG